TTAGTATCACTTATCAATTCCATAAAGTTCTTAGATAACATCCTTGAATATCATCTTACCTCAGCCTTGCACCGTTCTCAATTTTTTCTGCTATTATTCTAATTAAATTAATATTATGCCTTCTTAAACTCATCTACATGTCTTTTAACATCTTTATTCTATTTTCCCTTGTCTTGTCTTTCTTTGCTACATTCTGGATGATGACTTAAACTCTACTATCTCATTTACTTTCTCTTCTGTTGTGCCTGGCCTGTTTTTTAAATTGCCATATTTTTTTGTTTCTGGTATTTTTATATTGTTGTTGTTATTGATGTAGTAGTAGTACGCTGGCAAGGACAAAACCACTGGACTGAATTCCAGTTCCAGATTGTCAGTCAAATACAAGACACAATAGGCTTACCCAGCACCAAGTTTATTTAACTTTATTAAGGGGTAGAAAACAGATAGTAAGCACTGTGCAAAGCAAGACATTCCTGGAGGCTTCAGACACACAGGTACAGTGTCTCACGTACCAGTCACTGCAGTGTTCTCAAGCATGACAGGGAGATACTGAGAGTGTGAGTCACATCAGCATAGGGAAGCCCAGGGTTAGGGCCTCTCAGCTTGAGTACACTGCTGTCACATAACGGGGTGTGTGTCTAGCTCTCATTCTATAGCACAGCTTCAATACACTAATGATAGAATGTATAGTCAAAATTGTGATGATGATGCACAGAGTGTTTAGACTTATCTTGTCATAAATAGTGCAACTGCTCTTCGAGCAGGTCAAATATAAATAGACTCTTCTGGGCAAATCCATCTTCCACTGAGTCCACTGGTTCCACAGAACCTACCCAGGTTATTTTCACATTTCTAAAGTTATAATCAAAATATACATACCCAGTGTCTCTTGGAACCATATAAATGATTCCTTGGTCTGTGGAAAAAGAGCTATTATAGTAGAAATGGCTGCGTAAAAACTCCCTTTACTTACTTCTGGTCCATGTGGTAAACATAAAACAATATCGTATCCCAGGTGTATTGACAGAAAGTAGTGCCACCCTCAGAGATTTAAGAAAATATATAATATGTTAGACAGAATCAATGATCAGAGAGAAAAAATAAAATGAGGCTACAGTTTGAGATAATGTGGTCAAGACAGGCATTTATATAAAACCAGAGGGAAGTGGGGAAGGGACCTGGTGGATATATGAGCAAAACACATTCTGTGTCAGGAGAAAACATATGTCCTGGCATGTTTGATGAACAGTGGGGAGGCAGCATGATTTGTGCACAGTAAGTAAGAGGAGAAAGGCCAGGGAGATGACAGGAATCAATTCCATGGGTTTTATAGATCATTTTAGAAAGTTTGGCTTTTACTCTAAACGAGGCAGGAAACAACTGTGGTGTTAAATAATGCAGTATGTTTTAATGAGGTCCTCCTGGCTACTTCAATCAGAATAGATGGACTGGTGGCCAAGGCAGGAATGAGGAGAACAGTTACAGGTAACTGCAGTAATCCGGAGGAGCTGGGTGAAGCTTAGCTCACACTGGGAGAAGTGGAGCAGGAAGATGTGGTAAAATGGTGGAAATATTTTGATGGTAGAATAAAAAGAATACTTTAATTCTATTAGATTCTGTTTTTGTACTGCAGCCTCTTGAAATATGTCTGGATCCTAATTCCAACCCTTCCTTGCCATAGGTTTCACATAGCCCCTCCTTTTAGAAGTAATTTGTATTTTAATCCTTTGGATAAACGTCTCAAAATCTCATTAATGTTGACTTTGATGTTAAAACAGACACTTTTTTTTTTTGCCAGGTCAGTGTGGCTCAGTGGTTGAGCATCGACCCATGCACCAGGAGGTCACCGGTTCAATTCCCAGTCAGGACACACACCCAGGTTGTGGGCTCAATCCCCAGTTGGGGGCATGCAGGAGGCGGCCAGTCGATGTTCTCTCTCATCGATGTTTCTGTCTCTCTCTTCCTCTCCCTTCCTCTCTCTCTACAATCAATAAAGAAAAAAAAAAGGTTTTTAATAAAAATAAAACAGACACTTTTTATACTAAAGTCCTGGTTATAAGAACAACTTATCTCAAAAAGAACGTTTTCCTTTTTCCATCTCTCATTTCATTTCCATTCCTTTCCCTTAACTACTTGAATGATAGAGAATCAATCACTGGTCATCTCGGCAGCCTGCCCATGCTGTGAAATTCGTACTTAACACTATAGGTCCCTGGTTTGGGGGTGGGTGGGGGTCAGACAGGATCTCTCTCTTCCTGGCTCCTTTAACACCGGCAGCCTCCTCCTTGGTGGTGAAGACTTGATTTCACTTTTAGTTAAAGAATATTTTAACTTAGTTGTTGGAGGATAGTTATTGCACAGCTAAACGTGACAGAGAACACACACACATACAGATGAAATTTAGAAAATTTATTTCAACCTCCCCAAATCTTTCACAGATGACCATAAAGTTTATTACACTTTTCAATATCAAGCACAGGACACAGGATTTACATTAAATTAGAAATGGCATACATAATTTCCACTAGAAAGCCCTTGATGATTTACAACTAAACTAAGAGGTAGGTACATTCTCTAGATTTTTCTAATTCAAGAATTATACTTACTAAATGTACAAATGTAATTGCTCTCATGTACCCCTCCCCCCGCCAATCCCAACTAAGTATCCATTGTTATTTGAAAAATAATGAGTTTGCCAAGGTTGCTGGGTTGAGATAGGATTCTCTGTGTACTTCAATAATCAAATGTGGCGCATAAACTGAAAAGCTCCTAAACCAGCAAAATAAAAAACAGTGAACCCATCCCAAACATCTTCAGAAACTGTTGCTAACTAATGATATTACACTTCAAATTGCTAAACAATCTTTAGGATATTGTAGATCAGGATTCATTTTCACTTAAAAAGAAAAAAAAAGATAAGGGAAAGTAAGTTGAATCGGAACAGCCATGCATCACTTAACAGGGATACATTCTGAGAAAGGTATCGTTAGGGAATCTCATCACTGAGCAGACATCACAGAGTGCACTTTGTAAACCTGGGTGGCATGGCCTGCTACCCTCTAGGCTGCATGGGAGGACTGCTGCCGCTGGGCTACAAGCATGTACAGCTACTGGACTGAACAATGTGGGCAAGTGTCACACAATGGTAATATTTGTATATTTAAACATATCCTAAACATAGAAAAAGTACAGTAAATACACAGTATAAAAGATAAAAAATGGTACACCTGTACAGGGCATTTACCATGAATGGAGCTTACAAGACTGAAAGTTGCTCTAGCTGAGTCATGGGGCACGTGGCAAGTACTTGAGAAGGCCCAGGACAGAGCTGTACACTATTCTGGAGACAATGTATACGTCATCTATACCAAATTTATAAAAAACAAAACAAAACATTTTTCTTTCTTCAATAATGAATTAAACTTAGCTTACTGTAACTTTTCTTGCTTTATATATTGTCTAATTTTTTAAACTCTTCAGTTTAAAACACAAACATATTTTCTTTCTTTATATTCTTATTCTATAAGCTTCTTTCTATTAAAATTTTTTTAAAACTTGTTTTGTTCAAAACTAAGGCACAGACACATACATTAGCCCAGGCCTACACAGGGTCAGGGTCGTCCATATCACTCTGTTCCGTTCCCACATCTTGTCCCGTTGGGAGGTCTGCAGGGACAGTATCACACACAGAGCCCTCACGCCCTATGATACCGGATCCCTCCTGGAGGACCTGCCCGAGGCTCTTCTCGAGGAGGTGTCACTCTTTTCAGAAATGTGTCCACGATGGTTTGCTTGGTTTGTTTCTTTTTTTCATCAGAGATTTGCTTTAAAGTAGATCAGTCCCATGAATCTATTTTGGGATTGGGGTCCACGTTTTCAATATTTTTGAGCTCTGAAAAAGCTTCTGCTAAGTCCACTGAATTTCCTCAGGGGTTCTTTGTTTTACTCTCTTTGCATTTTCCGCTTCGCTTGCTGCTTCTTCAGCTATGCACCCTTACGCTGGCTGCAACAACTTCTCATTGATCGCTTGGTAAGGAGCCACCTCCAGGTGCTCCTCAAAGTCGCCCTCACCCACGCTCGGGTTTGGGTTGCCTGCCGTCCCATCCACGGCCTTGTGGATTTGGGCAGCCTCTGAGCCACAGTGTCATGATGGCTACAATGTCACTAGCAGGAGGAATTTTTCAGCTCCATTATAATCTTATGGAACCACCGTTGTATGTGTGGTCCATCATTGTTCAGAATAACCTTAAGGGGTGCATAACTGTACAAATATGGTGTAAAGGATCTGCGAATGTAATTTTCTTCTTTTGTTGAAAAGTTGCCTAGTGACTTGTCATCAGAAACTCTTTGATACTAAACCAATGAACACTTTCTATACATAAAATAATTATGATATAGGAGACTTTTATAAAGAGTATGACCTATGAACAGAGCTAACACTTGCCATTAAATTCCTGTATAACTTCAATGAAAAAACTTCTTTGTCTCTTCATTTTGCTGGATGCAAAATAATATTGTTCTGTATACTTAACACATAATAATACATAAATAAAATGGTTTTCCTATGATCCTAATAAACATTCATCCAAAAGATTATCTAACACACAGTACATAAAATAATAAGGCATACTATCAGAACTTTGGTAATATTGCAGTCATGAATTCTGCTTGTAAAGAACCAGGGGAGAAAGTTATGACAAAATCTCTGTGACTCATGATAGCTTAAACTGTTAGGCCTCAAACACACTTATTTAAGACTACTTCCACAACAAACTAAAAATGGGAAGTAAAATTCATCGTCACAGCTCCAAGTGAATCAGATAAGAAACCTGGGCATTTTCAATCACTCTCAGATATAATTTTTTCAAGGTTCTTTTGAACAGGAATGATGATAACACCAGAAACCACTTGTGAAAAGAAAAGTAAATATTTGATGAGTCGTCATCCTATTTGATACTAGTTTTACTCAAAAACTGAAATGTGAAATTATTTTTCGACTGCTTAATAGTTGTTAGTGAAAATAAGAACCACATAAAAATGTGCATGTTAAATAAATATGTCCTGATCATAATGGAATGATACATAAAGATGTTGGCACAACAGAGTGGACTATGTGAATTGTAGACATAGGTTTCTTCTTTGTTTTCTCTGCTGAAACTTTTCAAGTTGTTTTCCTCTTTGCACTGGCCAGTCAAGTTCCTTGTGGGGGCCGTTGGGAAAGCGTTGCTTTTCAGCTAGAAGGCGAGGCTCGCTTCTCCTCTGCAACATTTATGTTCCCTACCCAAGTGGCTCCAGTCACATCTCGTTCTTTTTGATGGTTTTCATTTTTGAAGATTTCTATACGTAAAGGAATAATAAGAAGGGTCTGTCAGAAATATGCATTGGAAATAGGCAGTAAGGAAACTACCTGCTTTCAAATGCTGTTTATAAGACACTCTCATGCATATATGCTTTTTAAGAAATAATTCAGAAAAAAAGGAAGAAGAATCAAAACTGTAACATCTTTTAGATACAAGGTAAGTAATTTTATGAACTTAAATTTGTAAAGTGCTTTTCGCCTGACAAAGTGCTTTCCTGTGCATTTTTAGTGTATCCGCATAAGAACTCTATTATATAAGTAATGCAAGGTGCAAACTGCATTCAGAGGGAACGCCCAGCGATCACACGGCGTCGCAGAGATGGAAGCTGACTGTGCCCTGAAATCAGCATCTGGCTGCAGACCTACCATTCTGGCTGTGCACGACGTCTGCAGAATAGAACCCAAACCTAGTGGACTTCTGAAGACTACGGAGGGGGAAAAGGTAACCTATACATGTTAAACTGGAGACAAGACAATAGGTCTCAAGCATAAGCTGAACAATCTAAAGCTTCTGACTAACATACACACACACTTGACTTGAACACATCAGATCCATACTCAAGTAAAGAAAGCTACGCTGCAGACAGGAGTTCTGTCTGCGTTCCGGCAGCGTGGCTTTGGGGAGCATGGGAACTCCTGCCCCAGTGCTCCCTAGCCTCCGCCTCCTTCCCTCCTTCCTTCCTCTCTTCTTCCCTCCCTCCTTTCTTTCCTTCTTTTTCCCTTCCTAGCTTCCTTCCTTTCTTTCCTCCTTCCTCTGTCCTTCCCTCCCTCTCTCTTCTTCCCTTGTTTCTTTCTTTTTCTTTTTTAACAATATTGGACCATTGATTTATTTCATTGTAATTAAATTTATTGGGGTGACATTAGTTAATAGGATAATATAGATTTCAAGTGTACATTTCTATGGTACATGATCTGTAAATTTCACCATGTGCCCACCACCCTAAGCCAAATCATCTCCCCTCACCATATAGTTGGCTTCTTTTGTTCTTTCTTCTTTCTTCTCTTCCTCCCTTTTATTCCCTCCCCTCCTGTCTCTTTCCTTCCCTCCTTTTCTGCTAGATATTAACTTTATAACCTTAAGGAAGTTATCTAACATTTATATGCCTAATTTCCTCATCTTTAAAAAGGGAGAGGAGGTATTATATATAGTGCCCATTTTATATGATGCCTAGGTGCCTGTTATGACAAAGATTAAATGAGTTAATAAATGTAAAGAGTTTTATATTTTACAGTGAGGAATTTTATTGTCTCACCAAATGCTGGTTATTTTATACATGTGAAATAGAAAGATAAAATATATAGTTTCATGACCCCTGAGCTCACAGACTAATTGGGAAAGATTGAGGAAAGGAGATGTCAGAACAGAAAGAAGGGGAATTTTTCCACACGTCATGTTAATTCTCTTAACAGTGTGGATTTATTTTGTTCTGTCAACATTTCCTGTCACTGTTAACTTGGGCTGGGGTGTGAGGACTGAGGGCAGAGGGCAGGGGGCTGAGGGCTGAGGGCAGGGGGCTGAGGGCTGAGGGCTGAGGGCAGGGGGCTGAGGGCAGAGGGCTGAGGGCAGGGGGCTGAGGGCAGGGGGCTGAGGGCTGAGGGCAGAGGGCTGAGGGCTGAGGGCTGAGGGCAGGGGGCTGAGGGCTGAGGGCTGAGGGCTGAGGGCAGGGGGCTGAGGGCTGAGGGCTGAGGGCTGAGGGTAGGGGGCTGAGGGCTGAGGGCTGAGGAGGGCTGAGGGCTGAGGGTAGGGGGCTGAGGACTGAGGGCTGAGGGCTGAGGGCTGAGGGCAGGGGGCTGAGGGCTGAGGGCTGAGGGTAGGGGGCTGAGGGCTGAGGGCTGAGGGCTGAGGAGGGCTGAGGGCTGAGGGCTGAGGGCTGAGGGCTGAGGGCTGAGGGCTGAGGGCTGAGGGCAGAGGGCTGAGGGCTGAGGGCAGGGGGCTGAGGGCTGAGGGCTGAGGGCAGAGGGCTGAGGGCTGAGGGCAGGGGGCTGAGAGCTGAGGGCTGAGGGCTGAGGGCAGGGGGCTGAGGGCTGAGGGCAGAGGGCTGAGGGCTGAGGGCTGAGGGCAGAGGGCTGAGGGCAGGGGGCTGAGGGCTGAGGGCAGGGGGCTGAGGGCAGGGGGCTGAGGGCTGAGGGCAGGGGGCTGAGGGCAGGGGGCTGAGGGCTGAGGGCAGGGGGCTGAGGGCAGGGGGCTGAGGGCTGAGGGCAGGGGGCTGAGGGCAGGGGGCTGAGGGCTGAGGGCTGAGGGCAGGGGGCTGAGGGCAGGGGGCTGAGGGCAGGGGGCTGAGGGCAGGGGGCTGAGGGCTGAGGGCTGAGGGCAGGGGGCTGAGGGCAGGGGGCTGAGGGCTGAGGGCTGAGGGCAGGGGGCTGAGGGCAGGGGGCTGAGGGCAGGGGGCTGAGGGCTGAGGGCTGAGGGCAGGGGGCTGAGGGCAGGGGGCTGAGGGCAGAGGGCTGAGGGCAGGGGGCTGAGGGCAGGGGGCTGAGGGCTGAGGGCAGGGGGCTGAGGGCAGGGGGCTGAGGGCTGAGGGCTGAGGGCAGGGGGCTGAGGGCAGGGGGCCGCATGCAGAGCAGGGGTAGCCAGTGGCCTGATGGGAGAAAGACAGCCCGGCCTGCACACTGTCTGATTTCACTTCCTCCCCTCGCTGTCCGCTATCTCCAGCTGCTGCCTTTAGATATTTCGGTCTTTCTTATGTCACAGGCAGCAATAAATCTACACACTCTACCATATACATTATAGATGAAAAAACACAGGGTTTTTAGGCAGTATGCCAGACTTTATTCTCACGTCTATCACCAATTATCTTTGTGACTTTATTTGTAAAAAGGGATAACAGCAGTATTTCTCCCTCACGGTGCTGCTTTTCTTGGGGAAGAAGGGGTTGAGGGCAAATGAAATAAACACACAGTAGTACAGAGAACAGGATCTGAAGCCCTAGGTATGATTCCTTATTCTAAGACTTACTAGCTGTGTCTTGAGAAATCTCTGAATTCCATTTCCTTATCCGTGAATAAATTTTGATAGTAATAACTGAATCATAGAGTTGAAGAAATATCAAATGAAATAATGAACCCGCAAGTGCTTTGTAAAATGTAAAATGCTACAGAAATATTACTTGCTATTACCATCTCATATTCACATAAAACTATTATAAGCCCATAGTTTGAAAGTTCAATCTGTCATCTTGACAGTTATTAGTCTCACTCTCCCTTGTCAATAAACTGATTTAAGATAGTACATAGTTAAGCAGAAAAATGGGAGGTGAGGGAATTGGAATAATGGGTTTATCTCAATATAAAATAATAAGATTTAAACATTCTTGGTTTTGGAGGAGACCTTATAAATGACCTCTCTCTGCCTGAACTAGTCCAATCTCCCACCCAGTGTAAGAATGTTACAAATAACATCTGCGCTCTAATGGCCAGCGCAGGTTGACAGAGCAGATGTCACATTGAATTGAAACTGTGTTCTTTATTGCATTAACTTTCAAGAAATCTCCAAATGTGAAAGAAATGATTTTTCTTATGATTGTTTAGGTTATAAAATTCCAATCGATTTAAAACCCTCGGTTCTTTTGGCGTCCATCAACCATTCCTTTTGAAAATGTCACAGACTTAACGTGGAGGTGATGTTTCTCACATCAAATTGAATATACACTGATTACTTTTGAGTATTCACAATTACATAAATGATCAAATTAAGTGAGAGATGTGAAATCACGTACACTCAGTTCCTTGGAGATCAAGCCAAACACTTCATCTGCTGAGGAACAAATATGAAATGTAGTTTTATTCGGTTTTTCTCTCTAACAGCTATCTTTCAATAGTCAAAAGTGTCCTGTGATAGTCGAAATCTATGTCTATGTAAGAATAGCCTGCTGTTCAACCAACAAACCAAGGCTTTATATACATAAATTTAGTTGAGTAATTTTTTTTTTTTAATCCTCACCCAAGGACATTTTTCCATTTTTTGTTCAGGTAGAATGGAAGGAAGAGAGAGCAGTTAGGAAGCCAATTAGCTAGAATCATGAACAAGAGGAAGAGTAGTGACCACTGGAGGATTGTGAGGAAAGGAGTTCCATGATCAGACTAAGGTTTTAACACAATTACTCTCGCTGTTGTGTTGTGTAAGAAGAAAGGGCAGAAGCAGATGGATTAGTCATGAAGCCAATACAAGAATCCAGATGAAAAATAATGATGACTTAGACTAGGTTGATAATAGTGACCATGCTAAACAAAAATGATCATATTCTAGATATTGTTTGTAAATAAAGACAATAAGACTTCTTGATGGAGTTGGTGTGATGAGTGAGAAGAAAAGAAAGGTTGTTTATAAGTTTTCAACTGCATTATTTTTAAAAGTGTAGTCCGGAGACACCCTGCACCATAATCACCCAAGAAGCATGTTACAATATATTCCCAGTTTCTACCTGACAACTGCTGAATCAGACTCTCTAGAGCAAAGGGCAGCAAACTTTTACTTCAAAGAGCCAAATAGTAAATATTTCAGACTTTGCATCTGGTGTCCATCAAAACTACTCAACTCTGCTGATGGAGCATGAGCAGGAAAAACAGCCATAGACAACATGTAAACAAATGAGTGTAGCTGTGTTCCAATTACACTTCATATAGACATTGAAATCAGAATTACATATAATTTTCACATGTCAGAAATATTTTTCTTTCTTTAATTTTTCCCAAACATTTACAAATTGAAAAATATTTTTATTTTGTGGGCTGTACAAAAGCAGGCAAGAGGACAGAGGAGACCAACGGCCAGTTTGCCAACCCTGCTCTAGAGTGTAGATCCCACGAATAAGTATTTTTAACATGATTATACGTGACCTTTTTCATGTTCAAGAACTTAGAGAAACATTGAAATAATTTTGAAAGTTATTGCCACCAGTTCCTTCTTGTTTTGCTTAGTTCATGGATCCGAATTAAGAAGGCCTTCCTGAATAAAATGCAAATCAGATTTGGTTTGAAA